GAGGCTGTAAATCTTTACGGGAGCAGAAAGCCTCATCTTTCTCCCATGGAACAGCTGGTAGTTTTGAACTGCTGACCTTGAGGTTCACAGCCTGATTTGTAACCACTACGCTACCAGAGCTGTGTATATATATATATATATAATGTTTATTGTTCTTGTGCCGTTGAGTCAATTTTGACTCATAGTAATCCTGATAAGGTTTCCGAGGCTCTAAATCTTTGCAGGAACAGAAAAGCCTCATCTTTCTGCCATGGAGAAAGATGGATTGAAACCACTGACCATGAGGGACTATGTGGTTAACAGCTCACTATGCTACCAGGGCTCCTTGTAAACATCTGTTTAAATATATTTAATAACAACACAATAAGACACACACCAATTCAACACCATCTGCATGTACATTTCAGGGACATTGATTTGCCTTCTTTAAATTGTGCAGCCACTCTTACCCTTCTTTTCCAATTGTTCTTCTACCATCAGCACAGCCGGCCCCTGAACTCCCGATCTAACGTTTTGAGTTGCTGTTGTCAGTTTGATCCCTTGTGGATAGTTCTTTCAGAATTACTATGAGTTGAAATTGACTTGATGATGGTGATGTGGTTTTGACTTTTTTTAGATAGTTCTTTTTTATTTTTACATAGTTCTTTTAAAGAGCACAACCATAAGAATCTTTAACTTTCATTCAGGACATGAACCACCCTTCCACCTCCTTCCCCTACCTGGCTTTCAGAAACATTGACTGGGCTCTGTGGAAAGATAACAGAATCAGAAGCCATGGCCCCTTAAGACGCTCAGGCTCTTTCTCCAAGGTGGCAACAGGTAGCCCACGAGCTGGGTATTGTCTCACACTCCAATGATGTTCAAAATTTAAGTTAATTGCCACCTTCAAAAATAGGAAAATTTCATATGAGAATCTACTTTTCCAGCTCCTCTGGAAGAAAACTCAAAACTTGTGGCAGGACTGGCTCCACATTTACAAAGGGCAGTGAGAGGCAGCAGCTGGGCAGCGGCTGCCACCTTGACACAGACTTGTACTCTCAGTTGCCACACTCCCCACCTATCCTACTTACCTTATTTGCATCACCACACAGACCCTGTAAACATTTGTGTTTGTCGCCCCTGCTTTAACCATTAATAACATTTACTCTTTTCTGTGAGCTTACAGTGTACCAGGAGAAACACATGACAGATTCTTTATATATATATATATATATATATATACATACATATAATCTCATATACTTTTCCACAACAGTCAGGAAAGCTCAACATTTTTATTTTCCATTTGACATGTGAGACAAACGAGAGACAGGAAGATAAGTAACTTGCCAGTGTGATAACAGCTAATGGAGCTGAGGTTTCAGCTCAGCCCTGTCCAATTCTAAAACCTGGGTTTTGAATGTCTCTATTCGGTGGTCTCCCATTCTAGCTGGAAAAACCTTATGGGAAAAGACTCTTTTGGTGATATAAGCCAGACAGTTTTCAAATTGTGTGTGGCTCAGAGGGGTGCATTTGAGGGAGTTGGATCGCAGTGTCCCTGCTTCCAGGGATGGTGGAAGAGCAGTGACACTCCTCACCTGTGTGCAGGTTCATGGTACGCAGGTTCAGCTCCCATGGGTTTTCCAATGCTCCTGAGGCTGAGGAAAGTAAGCCTCATGGAAACAGTATGAGTTCCAACCTCCCCCTCAGGTTTTTCAGGGTCCTGATTGCTTGGCAGGCAGGAAGGTGGGCAGGATTCTGAATGAAACATGGTGGCCACAGATAGAGGATATGCTCCCATCCTGGCCATGTTGATGCAAAAGAGGACCTCAGAAGAGGTGGGATGGGGTGGCTAGGATGGAGGGTCTGGAGAGTGTGGCATCATTGCAATGATGCAAGGGGCCTTAATAGCAGTGGGATTTTGTTAAGCTGAAGCTCCCCTGCTTCTGGAAATTTCCTTTGCTTTGCTTTTCAAAATATGGGAATGCATTATTCATTTATTCACTTGGTAAGCCAGTGCTCAATGTCTTCTCTGCCCTCACTAGTGTGTATGTGAGAGTCTGAGTGTGTGGTATGAGTTTGTGGTGTGTGGTGATGGGGGAAGTGTTCAGAAAAGTTCTGTCTTTGCTTTTAGCAGTTCACGACTTCACAAACGTGTGAACATGTAGTGAACTGTAAGGACATGTCCATATAGGGTTTTTCCTTTAGGAGACTGTACTCCTGTAGGGGAAATGAGACATGAAGCCAGGAACATGTACCAGTGCCTTTTGAGGTATTTAGCCTTATTGGGCCTTTGTTTCCATCATCGAAAAATGGAACTTTTTAAATCTTCGTCATTATTGTGAGGAAGAAAATAATGTATGTGAAGAGACTAACAGTGCCTGGGCTAAAACAAAACCCATTTGGAGTTTAGGAGTATGTCGGCTGCTGCCCCGTGGAACTCTGCTTCCTCCCCAGCATGCACCACTGGGCCCATCCTACCCACGGCTTCTTCCTTTGCTTTGGGAATTACTCTAGCCCCAAGTGCACAATGGAGTCCTGGTGTGGCACTGTGGGTTAATGTGCCAGACTGCAAAGCCGTTTGAACTGCAAGGTCGGTGGTTCAAGCTCACCAGTCGCTATGGGTCAAACCCACTCGAAGGCACTTAACAACAACAACAAAGCTCACAATGGCTTCCAATTGACCCAAGGCTTTTCTCAGGTGTACCTTTTGATCTAATCAAGTAGCTCCTGGCCAGAGGAAGTCTGTGAAGGTAACAGTGTGTGCTACTCTCAATATTTCAAAAGTCTACAGGATTTCTGAAAACACTCTTACATTTGAATTTTAAAATGAGAATTTTAATTCTCATCTTTAATTTTGGTTCAGTGTCTTTATACATATTATCTCCTAAGAAAGTGAATTGTATGTTGTAAACACAGTTTGATAGAATGGGATCCACTAGAGGGAAAAGGTGGGGTCTTTGTTGGGGGAAATAGGTGAAAAACATTGCCCTAACCCTGACCCCCAGCCAGATCTGTTCTGACTCTTCGCACTGCTCAGTAAATCGTTGGCATGATCATCATTGGCATTGTGACCTTTTGCCGCAGGAGTTTCCTTTATCCCCAATTTGTTAACTCTTGATCTTCTCTGCAACCCCCCACCACGATTCTTTCAGATTCTTCCATTTGCATCACCACCACCGCCCCATATGTTGTTAAGTGCCACCAAGTCCATTCTGACTCATAGTGACCCTGTATAGGGTTTCTGAAGAGCAGCTGGTTGGTTTGAACCACTGACCTCATGGTTAGCAGTCCAGTGCTTATCCTACAGTGCCACCCCACCACCCCACCTAGTCACCCAAACTCGGCTTCTCTTTATTAACTCCACAGCCATCCTGTGTAAAGCAAGGCCCTTATCACCTCATGCTTACACTAGTGCAGTAGTCTTGTGCCTTTTGGAAGGCGCTGACTCCCAAGGTAAGCAGATAGGTACAGGTCCTGCCTCTGGGTGGGAATCTTGCCTTTCCCACTTAACTGCTATGTGATCCTGGGTAAGTTATATAGTCTTTCTGAGCCTTAGTTTCCTCAACTCAAAACGGGGACTAGCGACTGTTTTGTAGAGTTTTTGTGAGAAGTAAGTGAAATAAAGTCTACAAAGCACATAGTAACAGCTGATATAATAACTAATATTTAAGGAATACTTACTATGTGCTAAGCACTGGTTTTTTTTTAAATAACTTAAAAAAATTTTGTTGTTGAGAATATACGCAGCAGAACATACACCAATTGTGAAATGTTTCTGCATGTACAATTCAGTGATACTGATTGCATTTTACATTAATTATACCGTGCAACCATGATTCCCTTCTTTTCTGAGTTGTTCTAGCCCCATTAGCATAAACTCACTGACCCCTAATCTTTTGAGTTGCTGTTGTCAATTCATGTCATTTAGATAGTTCTTAAAAGAACACAATGCTCAAGACAGACATTCTTAGTCTTAACAGACTAGTTAAGCTACACTGCTGTTTGATTTTAAGAAAATTTCAGAGGATATCTTTGGTATAAGGTTTAAAGATTACTTGAAGATACTAGTTTTGGGGCCTCCATGACTCCAGAAAGTATAGATTCCATTCAGATTTGAAATTCTGTTCTATATTTTCCCTCATTTGATCAGGGATCTTCCATAGAATCGTTCATAGAATCTTTTTTTTTTTTTTTTTTCTTAAATGTTTTATTGTGAATTATGTGATC